GCTGTCTAGTGTTCACACATTCTAGTGTTATGGCTTTTGTAGGCCATTGCTGGTGAATTTGCAACATGGCTGAGCAGGAACATACAAATAGGATGTGTTCTCAGCTAGAACAGTAGATCCACAGAATACTGCCAGGAATTCATACTGAATTTAGAAGAGGCTAAGACACCAGGGATACCAATGCTGAGTTTAGATGGATCTTAGCTGAAAGTAGAGACTACCTGAAGGATGTTTATCTGATTTTTATTGACTATGTAAAGGAGGTTGTTGTGTGCATCACAGCAAAGTGGGCTAACATTGAGAGGAATAGGAACCCCAGAACTCAACTGTGCTGATGTAAAACTTGTACCTAGACCAAAGGCTGTTGGACAAACATAATTTAAAATTAAGGAGGATGTGCATCAGGTCTGTATCCTTTCTTAATATCTGTTCAGTCGGCATCTCACCAACTAGTGTGGAAAACCTAATTTTATGAAGAAAAATGTGACATCAATATCATAGACAGACTCATCAACAACCTGCATTATGCATATAACACAGCTTTGCTTAAGGAAGACTTGTGACAGCACCTGATAACCTGTGAGAGCTTAGAGAGGCCCAGGAGATTGTTGTGTGATTATTTAATTAATACATATCCCCCACAATACTAACTGTAATAGTAACAGCAAACACTTGTGCATAGTTTGTGCCAGTCCTTCTTCTAAGGACTGTGTGTAGTAATGTAAATGAATTCTCAGAATTTCAATGTTGATGCTATTACTAGTTGCATTTCACAGATGAGGAAACAGAGCTTGCCCTTTGTCACAACTAAAATTATGATACTTGCCCATTATCACAACTAAGAAATGATTGTTCTTGTTTTAACGTATTGGGCATATATACTTTGAGCACATGGCCAGGAGGGACCTTGGAGACAGACTTACTCAGAAGGGTGGAGGGACAGCATAGGAGAGGAAGACCCTGGAAAAGATGAATTGATACAGTAACCAGGGCAATGGGGGTAGATGTATCTGAGTCAGTGAGACTGGCTCAGGACAGGACAGGTATCAGAGCTGTTGTACATAAGGTTGCTATGAGTTACAGGTGACTTGACAACAATAACATGGTTATAGTACATATGTTAAGCTCATTATTGAATATATCTAAAACTTTGAAAACATGCTTGAGTTTTAGAAATGTTGACAAGTAATGGGGAATTGTTTTTCATATTCCAAGAAATATAGAATGCTTCTAGCCTTTAATAGACCTGCCCTGTGATTGTTAAACATTCTCTAATACGTGGAACCATTCTAAACCAGGAATGATTGTCACACTCAGATTTCACAATGAGAAATAGTGAAGAGGTAGGCGAGTGACTTTAAAAAGTGGGGCAAACAGGCAAAGAAAATTGACATTTATTGAGTACCTTCTCTCTGCTAGATACTATTTGTTATCTCTTTTAGCCTTCACAATAATTCTTTGATGTATTATTATCTCCTTTATACAAATTAGAAATTTGAAACTAAGTGGTGGTTAAGTAACATGCACAAGGTCATATGCCTGAGGTATAGATATTTTGTAGAAATTGGCTAGACAGTGAAGTTCAAGGGTGAAAAGAGTACAGAGTAGTAATTCACCTGGGACTTGACTGTTAGAATCCAAATAACCATCCCTTCCTCTTTAGCTTTCTATTTTTAGGAAAGGACAGAGTCTATAAAAGGTGGAGTTGTGTCCAGTGTCTGCTGCTTTTAGACTGTATTGGCCTTGTTTGAATTCTGTCTGAAATTGTGTGATATCTCAGCTTCAACATTGCTGTTATTTATCTTCTTTAAAAAATTCTTTCCTCTTTTACCCCCCCCCCCAATTTATCTGCTCTTTTGCAACGGCACTTCACAGAAAAGTTGTCTGTTTTCATTGTCTCCTCTCCCATTCAGGATTTGTCCTTACCACTCCCCTAAAATTTCTTGTCACTCTCTTAGCCGAACTTAATGGTTCATTTTTTTTTTTGACTGCTTGACCTGTTACCAACAACATTAACACATTCTCCTGATGAGAAGGTTTCCCAGAAGTCTTTATGAAATTGTAAGCATAAATTCTCGACACTTTTAACTCCCTTAAGACCATGGGAATACCCTTAATTTTCTTGACTTTGTTTCTATTTGTCTTCCCACTTCCGCTTGGATATCTCAGATTGACTTGTGTGTTGTTATGTGCCATCCAGTCGTCTGCGACTCATAACAACCTTAGGTACAACAGCTCTGGATCCTGCCCTATCCTGAGCCAGTCTCACTGTCTCAAACACACCTCCTCCCTTTATCCTAGGTACTGTGTCAGTCCACCTCATCTGGTGTCTTCCTCTCCTGTGCTGTCCCTCTACCTTTCCGAGCATGATCTCCTTCTATAAGGACTGGTCCCTCCTGGCCATGTACCCAAAGTATGTGAGACAGCTTCAAAATCCTTGCCTCCGACTTAAGATGGCTAAAACTAATCTGATCTTCCTCCCGAAATCTGTTTCGAACTTAGTTATTTCAAACTCAGTAGATAACAGTACATTATTCCATTGCTCATGCTGAATACCTTGGTGCTTTTCTTAAATCTTTTCTTTCTCCCATACCCTCCCTCCCTCAATAATGAGAATCCACGGGTTTTAACTTAATCTTCCTACAGAATCTGACCACTTCTCATTGCTTCTGCTCTCATCATCCTGGTTTTAGTCTCTTTTTGTTACACTACAGTACAATACACAGCAGTGCACATTAGCAGGGTATGCCATTCTTTTGTCAAAACTTTCCTTGGTTCTCTCTTTTTTGTTTAAATGTAAACATTTCTTTTATTGAACTGTATAAATGTACGAATAGTAAACAACATGCCTCCAGAAACTCAATGAACTTTGATAAATGTCTGTAGTTGCAGAGGGGCTTCAGGCCTTTTGTTCACAGGGTCTCTATGAGTCATGCTCAACTCGAAGGCAGTCAACAATAACGAGTAGTTAATATAAAAATTCTGTAGTGGAAAAAGAAAATAGTGTACTAGTAATTTTAATTTGTATTTAAAACTCCTCAGCCCTAGAGTCTTTTATTTTGTTTTTAATTATTCGTATAGATTTTATTTTAGATCCTTAATTCCAGTTGGTTTTTGCGGTTGACTACAGTGTTTAATCAGATGACACACACACACACACACACACCCGCCCCCATTGTACATTACATTTCCAGCTTCTCCCAACCTCTCAGTTGTTACCTGTTACATTCAGAATGAAAGTTAGAGGAATATTTGCTGTATCTGTTTCTTTGATTATTTTTTGGGTTTTGTGGTCATTGTCTCTTGCTTCATATGCAGCTGCTTCCCTCTCTGCCCACGCTATTCTAGCTGACATACCAGGGACCCACATAGAGCCATTATACTAGCTTTTTCTTCGATTGGAGAGTGATTCCCCTGTATTTGCATGACTCACTACCTTAGCATCTTCAAGTCCTTGCTCAAATGTCATGTTCCTGCTCACCTTTATTGTAATTGGCAATTCTACCTTCACATGAGCATTCCAAATTACCCTTAATGTGTTCTTTGTCTTCCCATATTACTTCAAAACAAATCAAATCATTGCAAGAATTACAGAGCAGAGTAGAACTGTCATCCCACAACTCCTCTGGTCTTCCATCATTAGTGCTCAAGACTTCAAACCTATTTTTGTGATGGTTTTTCAATTCAGGTGGGGTAGACTCAAGGTTATATTTTGGGTTTTGTGGACTTACTTCACTTCAGCTAGAGTTACCTGCATATGAGTCTGTTATTGATGGTCTGTCCCACAGTTAGCATCTGGCCTGGTTTTGATTGCTAATACTGAACTTTTCCAGTGATTCTTTGCACAGTTTCAGTCAGATTCCTATGCTGTGCTTGAGATTAAGCTGACACCCAGGGTTTGACTACTTGGAAATATTTCATAGTTTCTTATTTGCTTTGAATACATATCTTTCTAGTGATATTAACCAAGTGAATGGAATGAATTATCTTACTATCTAGTGCTGCCTTAATAGCAACAACAGTAAACTCCACTTGGGTGGCTTTACAGAACAGAAACTTATTTTCTCACAGTTTAGGAGCCTTAAAGTTTGAATTCAGTCAGGCCTTGCTTTGGTGGAAGTTTCTTATTTGTATATTTTACCTTCTCACTCGTTGCCCTAGCATTGGAGCTAACTCATAGTTGACCCTCCATTTGGTAACCAACTGCTGTAAATTGTTCAGGAGGAGACTGTTTCTCTTTTATCCACCCAGCTGATGGTGAACTCTAACTGCCAGAGAGGCACAGCCTTTGGGTCATAGCAGTTCCCTAAGGACTTGTCCACTGGGACCTCCTTTTCACCTTTTTTTGTTTGTCTGTTTTGTTGTTTTTTTTAAATTAAATTTTATTAGTTTTAATGAACATTTACATAGATTTTGGGTTTTCATTCATTCATTGTTGCACTGTTTTCTCCACCCTCCTCCCCAGTTCGTTCTTCTTTCCCCTCCCCCCATGTCTGTTTTTATTGTCCAATTGCCACAGTGCTTGTCAAAGCCTGCCTTTTCACCTTTTATTGTGGTGTTGTTGCTGTGTACTATTGTGTAGGATGCATAGTGAGTCTTCAGAGTCAATAAATAACATGGAAAGAGACTGATCATCTTTTTCCCACGAAGCAACTGGTAGATTCAAACTGTGCCACTCAACCACCAAAGCTCCCTTTTCACCTCCTAGTTTGAACTCAGAAGTGAATGGGTTTGGGTCTTACCCTTTTCTTTTATATCATTAGCATACTAAAACAAACAAAAGAGACCTATTTCCAAAAAGGCTGTTTTTCCAGGTACAGGGATAAAAGTCTTTTGTTGCATATTTCAAGGAGTTCACAGTTCAATCCATAATAAGACTTAGCCCTTTGTTTTTCAGTGAACCCTGTATTTACTACAAATAAAGTTAATATTGAAATATGTCCTTTTTCATTTCAGAGACTCGGGAATTTATATGAAGACAGGAATTAAGATAATCAAGAATGTCTGTCCCAGAGCAAGACCTATGTCACCATATGAAAGTAGTTGTTCGTGTACGCCCCGAAAATGCAAAAGAAAAGGCAGATGGATTCCATAAAGTGGTTCATGTTGTAGATACACATATACTAGTTTTTGATCCCAAACAGGAAGAAGCCAGCTTTTTACATGGAAAGAAAACTTTAAATCGAGATATTACAAAGAGACAAAATAAGGATCTTAAATTTGTATTTGATACTGTTTTTGATGAAACATCGACTCAGTTGGAGGTTTTTGAGCACACAACTAAACCAATTATTCATAGTTTCTTGAGTGGATATAATTGCACAGGTAATAATTGTTTCAGTCTCAGGCTTTCCTTTTCCTAATTTTATGTTTGCATTGTGAGGAGCAGATACAAGAGTATTTTATTTTATTTAATTACATTTAAGGAGCTTATCTTCTAAAAATTGCTGCAGTAGACTTTACCTGTAAATGTAGACATAATCTTTTGACTGTAGTCATTGTATATGACTCACTTAAGGAGCCCTTAAGTGGTATAATGTGTTACATGTTGGGCTGGTAACTGAAAAGTCACTGGTTTGAATCCAACATGAAAAAGATGAGTACTTACAGTTGGAGAACTTGCTGAATCGTCTCCATGAGTTAGAATCCATTTCAGGGCAGTGGGGTTTTTGAGGGGTGTTTGTTTGCTTGTTTGTTTTTTCGTTTCCTTTGAGGGATGGATATATTCCTTATTATTAGGACCATGGAAATTGCTTTAGACAGTTAAAATAATAAATACTAAATTTAAAATTTATAAATAGATTCCTATTATTTTATTCTGTATCTCATATTCTTTTCATTTCCTGTTTCTAATGACATGATTCTTAAAAATGACAAATATCTCACAATTTGCATTCCTAAATGTCCCCACTGCTTACCTTTTAAATTATCTAGTTTTGAAAAATGGTCAGCCATTTCTGAATATTCAGCATATTACAGAAACATTATATTTTTTAGGTACTATGGAATAAAAATCCTTTTTTTTTAAAGTGAGTATCTCATGCTGTTTTGGGATATTCTTAGCATACCTCTTTTGAGTACAGAAGAAAAATCATCTAATTATACAGATTTTTTTGGTTTTTCCTTGGTTCTAATTTATGTTTTAGAATTAGTTATTGAATGCCTCTCTGTGACAGGTGATTTGCTAGATATTTTTCTTTATGAAGTTTACAGCTTCAGATATAGTGCTATACAAGGAAAGTATTACATATAGAGATCATTCAAATGCATGACAAGAACCATCAACGAGAACATAGGAAAGACCCATACAGATTGCCTTCTGTGCAGAGTAGGGAAAACTAGATGCCTTAGAATTATATTAAGCAGAAGAGTTCTCCAAGACAAAGCAAATGGAGTAGGAAAAGAATAATAGCACAGTCAGGGAACATAGAATAATTTCATTTATGTAGATCACAGCAGAGGAGCTCTAGTGACCTAATCTATAGGCAGTTGTGCCTCTGGCAGTTCAAATCCACCAGACTCTAGAAGAAAGATGAGCAGTCTCCTTTTATGTGATTTATAGCTTCCCAGAAACCCACTGCAGAGTCAACTAAGAGTGTTCTGATTTGATTCCAGTGAAAGAGAGGCCAGCACACATGAAACTGGAGACATAATCAAGAGTCTTGTTTTCGGTACCTTATAATATTACAAAGTAAAAAATTTCTACTTTCTGATGTAGCACATGTTCAAATTTATTTTTCATAATAATAATTCTGAATATATGTCCATGTATTAGGGAAAGTTAGGACTAGAAGATAATTATTAAAATTTATAGTAGTAATGTGAAATAGAGGGAGCAGTCTAAGAATTTTCTCAATTTCTTGCATTGAGAGGACAAGTGGGTAAAGGTACTATTAATTAAGTTGGAGTATATAGGAATAGGTTTGTGTCAGAATGATCAGGTTTTAAGGACAAGACTATATACATTTTATATCTTTTGATTTAAATTTACTGTATAAAGAGCTCTGACCACTGTTTATAAAATTCTAGTACTTGCTTATGGTGCTACGGGAGCTGGGAAGACTCACACGATGCTAGGATCAGCTGCTGAACCTGGAGTGATGTATCTAACAATGTTAGACCTTTACAAATCCATAGATGAGATTAAAGAAGAAAAAGTATGTAGCACTACAGTTTCATACCTGGAGGTGAGTTGGCAGTAATCAGTATTTAAATTGACAGTACTGTGAAATCCTAATTTTGTAAATGCCATGGGCTGTTTTATGCAATATTTCTTTTATTTTTTTTAAATCATTAAAATTCCTCGCCTTGGCTATTTGTTCTGAATCCTAATAATTGTTTTGGTCTTTTTGTTTTTGCATATCAGACTTATAGAAAAAAATGTAAGGATACTATAAAGAACCCCCACATTTTTTCACCTCTATTTCCCCTATATATTAACATTTTAGAAGCATCCTAGCAATAGTGTGGATTCTCTTCCAGGCTACCACAAGGGACTGATAATTGGAATAAAGTGAATCATAGGATTTTTTTTTTCCGAGTGACTATAGAAGTTATGTTTGCACCATAAGTATATTTACGAAGTAAGCAAATAACACAATGGAGACATTTGAAATATTTTAAATTATCCAAATGTGGCATCCACGAAAATGAGCATCTGCTATTGTGAAAGTAGTGTCTATATACTTGCTCGAGTCACCACAGATCTTTGGTTTGCAAAATGTGCAGTACCCACAAATTATAAAGAAACCCTTGTTCCGCATTTGTTTTCTTCATGTGTGGTTAATTTTTCTAGAAAAAAAAATATTTTTTCAGAAAAAAAAATGCAAACTTATTAGGAAAACAAAAACTTCATTTAATAAATCAGTGTGTGATTATCTAAATCAAAATTTTACAAGCATTCAGTGTTGTTATCAGTGTATAGTTAGCTTTGGAGGCCTAATGGTAGAAGTCACACTGCTAACACTGAAGACATGGTTTGAATGCTGCTGCTGCCGCCGCTGCTGCCGCAGCAGCACAGGAAAAATATGAGCAGTCTTCTCCAAGTGATTTAAAACCTCTGAAAACCCCCTGAAGCATCCATTATCAGACATTTCTGATTTGACTGACAGCAACACAACCACCACAATAATCTATAAGAATACTGAGGTTTTTTTAATTATTTTTATGTTTTTATAGAAAAATCCAATATCCTGAGTTGTATTCAATCTTCAGGTCTTTTCGTTCTCCTTCAATACTAAATACTGTCATTTTGTACAGTGTGAATTTGCCATGGCTTCTAGAGATCAGGTTATTTTCACAGAAGGGAAGTTGAGTAGCTCTTACAGCTTATGAAAAGACTTAACGCTTTTTATGACTTACATTACTGGTGATGGTAACATTGTTCAGTTGGATATGTTGGGTTTTGAAAGGTTGCTCCACTTAAATGGTATTATCCTCCATGATTAGTAAGTGCCTCATGGAAAGGCTAGCAGTATCTTCTTCCTCCCTAAATATTAATCCACTAGATTTAATGAGTGTCCATTGATGATTCTTGCCTGAAGCTAATTTAGGGTAATTTCCAGCAGAGCTTCTATACTACATGAGAATGGGCCATCTACTTCTTAAATGCTTGGCCAAGTAAATTTATGAATAGCAGCAGAACACTGTCTTGTTGGAAGCATTCAAAAACAGTGGCTTCAAAAATAAGCTCAAGCAAAACAGCAGTATAAGGATAGTGCAGAAACCAGTTCTCTGATGTTGCATTCTAATTTTACACTGCACTGTTTCTCCTGTCACAAAAGTTTTAGTGATCATTTAGCATTGTAGTTTGGCCCAGACAGAATTTCTTCACATTCCAAAGGTCAATTAAGATCTATATGTGGCTTGGAATTTCTGTTTTAGTGACTAGAACAGGAGTTAACAAAATGGCAGAATAATGGGTAAGGAATTGGGGCGTCAAACCAAAGGCACATGGTTCAAATCCACCAGTTGCTCTGTGCGAAAAAGATGGGCATTCCCTTCCTATGCCCATCTATAGATTCTGGAAACTTGCTGGAGGGTCTGCAAAGAGTTGTTTCTCACCTGGTGGCACATAGCAACAGCAAAAAGAATTGGTCTGCACTCAGCTAAAGAGGGTAACAGTAGTTATCATTTACTTCTTAGATCCATTGATTGAGAGAATTACTAAGTTTGATTATTTTATGGCTTGTTTTGATTTTTAGTTTGCTTTCATTTGTTTTGTGGTAAGACAATCTCTGCTCAAAAGGTTTTCTATCCAGTCAATGCCCCCAAATTGCCTGTGGAGCTTTTTTTTTCCTTGTAGCTTTTATTTATTTTTTTAAAATTATTTTAAATTCATTTTAATGAACATTTATAGAGATTTTGGATTTCCAAACATTCATTGTTCCATTTTTCTCCCTGCCCACCCCACCCTGCTCTTCTCTTTAAAAAAAGTAAAAGAAAAATTATTTTATTGGTATAGAAACACCCCACACCCCCTTCCCGCCCCAAGTACACTCCACTATGCAACCTTCATTCTGGACTCTTGTCATGACCATAATACCCAATCATAAATTGCTTTCAAACAGTTCTCTCCCTCATCTGTTCCAATGCAGTAGACATAATTTATCCAGTTTTTCTCAGTCTTACCCCAGCCCTGATGTCAGTCTCATTCTACGACAGTGGCCCTATGCGGTATTTGTCCTTCTGTGACTGAGATATTTCACTCAGCGTAATGTCCTCCAGGGTTACCCATTTTGAATAATATTGCATGAGTTCCTTGTTTTTCAATGCTGTGGAGTATTCCATTGTGTGAATATACCAGAGCTTCTCTAGCCATTCGTTTGTTGGTGGGCACTTAGGTTGTTTGCAACCCATTGCTATTGTGAACAAAGCCGCAATAAACATGGGTGTGCATATATCTGCTTGGATGGCAGTTATGGTTTCTTTAGGATATATTCCCAGTAGTGGAATTGCTGGGTCAAATGGTGTTTCTGTTTGCAACTTTTTGAGAGAGCGCCATACAGCCTTCCATACTGGTTGCACCATTTTACACTCCCACCAACAGTGAATAAGGGTTCCAGTTTCTCCACAACCTTGCAAGCATTTGTTGTTTGCTGCTCTGTTAAATTTTGCTATTCTTACTGGGGTGAGATAATAACCTTATAGCTATTTTGTTGTGGAGCTTTTTAAGAATCAAAATGCCTAGGCCTAACCCCCTGAATATATGAAAAGATTTGGAGTGTTGCATGCACAGCTGTTTTCTACATGCTCCAAGTGATTCAGATGCATAGATTAGCTAGAGTAGTGCTTCTACTTGTATATTTGGCAAGATTGAGGTGGTTAAAGAAAAACATAAACATACTACTTATTGGAAAAATAACTACAAAAATTCTCTCTTCATAATATCATTTTAGCACATTTAAGAGTTTGTTACAGATAAACATTTGTAATTCTTTGCAGAAAATTACATCAATAGTGAATTATCACCATACTACTAAAATACGGAAATAATATTGAAGGCTTAATTTTGTATACTTCATAAATTCAGTTAATAATTATAGTTCTGTGAATTACCAAAAGAAAAAAGACTAGGTATATGAAATAGAGAGATGACTATGTAACATGTAATAAGTAGAATGGGACTCCAATCCCTGCTCTGCTACTGTCTTTGTAAATATAAAGTGTCACCTGACCTTTTCATTTAGATGAAGAGGATCCCCTTGTGGAGTTCATCATCATGAATATGTTAAACTTCATGTTATTCAAGGATAAATTAATACCATACATCCTTGCATATAAGTTCTCTTAACTCTTCAACTCTGGAATTTTAAAAGTGCATACTAGTTGCACCTTATGTAAGACCCATGTCATATTCATACAACCAACATTTCAAATATAATGTCATTTCCCACAACCACAGAATTTTCAGAAGAGGCAAAAAAGCAGTTTTCCTTTTTTTTTTTTTTTTAATTGTACTCAAGTTAGAATTTATGGGGTTAAGGATATGATTATTACGACTTGCCATTTCAGTTTTTAACCTTGATAATTAAACTCTGCTATTTCTGGGAAGGCAGAAAAGTGATATCCTCATGACAACATGAGGTAAAAGAGGTCTGATAAGTGATCTATGGTTTATCTTTGGAATATACATATGTGTTTGCACTCATGTATGTGAGGTTTTCACTAATTTTTCCATTATTGCTAAAGTACTTCTTTTTATTTTTAAGGTATATAATGAACAGATCCGTGACCTCTTAGTAAATTCAGGGCCACTTGCTGTTCGTGAAGATGCCCAGAAAGGGGTGGTTGTTCAGGGCTTGACTTTACACCAGGTATGTATTCAACTTGTATTCCCTTAATAGAATGGCAGGTTTAGTGATGTAGTCATTTCTGTCAGTACTTAACTAACCTTTCATCCTGTTTGAGAAAGAAAACTGATCTAAAACAAAAATAAAAGTATCAGGTTATGTCTTATTCTCACTTTATTTTCTTTTGAAATAATTCAATGAATGGGCTTTTCTTTCCAAAATCTTTTTGACCATTTAATAATATGTATCATTCTGTGTCAGGCATTTGATTTATGTTTTTCTTTTGAGAGAGCAAAAACCATTTTGTATAAAAACCAAGTGTATTAAGCAAATTATACACAATCAGTATCGAATGGAATTATTAGACTTTATAAAAAGCATTTTCTTATATTTTATGTTTAAAGTTCTTGCTTGTGGAAAGTTAGGAAGTTTGTAGATTACAAATTTGTGTCTTTTTCCTCTACAAACCTTCTAGCCCAAATCCTCAGAAGAAATTTTACAATTACTGGATAATGGAAACAAAAACAGAACACAGCATCCTACTGATGTGAATGCTACATCTTCACGTTCTCATGCTGTTTTCCAGGTAATAGGCCACTATACTATCATATTTATAAGGGCGTTTAAAATAAATACAGCCCAATTCAGAAAAAAAAATATCATTCTTTTATAGGCTTGTACTTCTCCACTTTTCCATCTTGCAGCTTTTAGAAGATTCCATCACTAAAAATATTTAGATAGAGATGAAAAATCAAAAATAAATTTTCACTTTATGAAGGAGAAGGTTTTGTTTATAAGATTTTGAAATTATATATATTTCCAAAAACTAAGTTTATATCTACACTGAGATTTAGCTCTATAAATATGATTTATAGGATCAGTAAAATGAGAAGTTACTGAATTACTTTCTAAAAGATATGACCATTGAAATCTTGTAAGTTGTTTCCTCCATTAATCATAACTTAGTTGATAATACAATCTCAGAAAGAGTCTCATTATTGGTCCTTTTAACACAAATTATTATATGACTTCTTTCAAGGTTATAACCTGGAAAGCATAAGACAGAAAGTATTGTAAATTGAAATAATTCATATCTGCAGTAATTAAGCCATTCAGAAAGTCAAAGAATATACACAAAATTTAATCATTTATATTCAACTTTTGTAACTGAGTGAAACTTTTGTCTATGTCAATTAGAATTAAGTCACTTCTATTTGGGTGACCATGCAAATTTAACTTACTTCATCATGCTTTTGAAAGGTGGAGAGGTGGAGAAAGAAGGCCCTCAACTAGGTGAACTGACCTGGTAACTGTGGCAATGGGTCAGATTGTAAGAATAGTGTGGAATAGAACATGGTTCATATTGCTTGTTCATGGCATGTTGTTGTTGTTGTTGTTGTTGTTGTTATGGGCCGTCGAGTCGTTTGCGACTCATAGCGACCCTATGTACAGGAGGCCTAAACCCTGCTCTATCCTGTGCCAGTCTCATTGCCTCT